GTGGTCGTCACGAACACCCGTGGCTGCTGCCATCCCCTCCCCTCTCCTTTCCTCTTTTCTCCCGTGGGCGCTCAGTGCCATCTCCCGGAGCGGTAGGGCACAGGATGGAGGAGTGCGAGTCACCTCGCCTTCTTGCCGGCAAGGCAGCCCATGGGACTTGCTCCAGGGTCCCTTTCTCTGGTCCAGACTTTGTGGGAGCAAAGTACAGCCACATTTCAGCTGCGAGGCATGGGAAAATGAGTGATTACACTGCTCCCCTCCTTGCTCTGGGCCAGTTTACAGAGACCTGGTTTGATATGAGTCAGAGTTTATTCCCTGTCTTTTCTCAGGCAGCTCCTGGAGGGCACTGGGCACCCAGGAAAGGAGCCGTGAGGGCAGATCCCATGTCCCCAGGTGGGGTGGCAGCAGGGCACAACCAGGAGCACACCTGATGAAGCTATATGTGTCCTTTGGTCCTCAGATTTGCCCAGCACCTTGGCCATGCTGGCTTCTTTCACACACTACCTCGCACTGCTGTCCCCAACCCTCACCCAGCCAGGGGGGCACCAGTCTCTGCCAGGGGAAAGAGATGGTGTTTTGTTCCCCAGCTCACTCCTGCCCAGTGGCTGATTGCACACACACAGGGCCCTTTCAGCATGGGGAGAGGAGGGTGATGGCATCTGGGAACGTGGGGAACAAAGGACCCCATTGATGCAGGCTGCAGCCCCATGGGTTTCTGTGAGCTGGGGCAAGGCCGAGGTGCAGGCACAGCTGTGCCACTGAGCTGGGGCAGCAGCAATGCATGAACTAAACCTCCCCTGTCCAGGCTGCATGGGAAACTTTGCTGCCTGCCTGGAGGGAGCTGAAGCCAGGGCGGAGAGAAGAGAGTGGGATTTGGGCTAGAGTCCCATTTAGGAAGAGCAGCAAAAGTCCTGGCCATGGGTAGGTATCAGCCTGCCAGCTCCCAGCCCACTCTGCTGCCCTGGGACACCTGACTGTGCCTGAAATCTTTGTTTTGGACAGACCTGCTGTAAACAGGAGAGGTGTTGGAGTTTGAGTGTGGGACTGGGAGCATCCCTCTGTGGCCTCACTCCCCAGAGGCCCCTGAGCACAGCTCTTGGGGAGAATTTCCAAGAGAAGCACCATTTGAATCCATAATTTTTGAGCAGCTGCTGTGGAAACACGGACCCAAGGGCATGACCGGGGCAGAAAGGCCTCAGCTGACGCTCTCCCACACACCAGCACTGTGCACACTGTCAACAATCCTGCAGCAAACAGCACATGGCCACCCACAGAGCCATGGACAGGACATGTAGAGCCCTGTGACAGTCCAGTCTGCCCTTGTGCTGAAACAAGACCATCCTGTTTCACACAGGGCTCTCTGCAAGTGAGAGAATCACACATCCTGTGTGGCTCTGGGCATGCTCATCCCACACTTGTTGCCTGATGCAAGCCAGCCAGCTCAGCTTGAGCCATGCAGAGTAGTTTTGCTGTGGTTGTGCTGTAGCTGCTACCTAAGGAGCCATGGTAGAGGCTGTCACCACATGGGCTGAGTATTAAGGAGCAGCAGCACATCACCAAACACAAGCAAGTGGCTGCTACATGACCCCAGCTGTCCTCTGGATGGCTGGAGGAGAAGTAAAGGTTTTAAGGGCACTCCAGCTGGGAACAAAGATTTTTGAAGTCAGGGTTATGAACTTCATGGCTGGAGTGGGCAGAGTCCTGCAGAGGCTGCTGGCCCATGCATGGAGCTGGCAAGTGCTGCTTCTCTGAGACCTCCTCTGCAGCCTTCCCTTCCCTGCTGCTTTCTCTGGCTCGGGGTGGGGCTTGGGAAAGCCAGCACAACAAATGGACAGGCAGACGTATATCTTGTTCAGAATGTTCTTAATTTTAATTTATTTTCTTTAATTTTATAAAATACATCTTGTAAGATAAGTCTCTAAAAACTTGCTCCTTTTTATTGCTTGTTAACAAGTTCTACATCAGAAATGAAGGAAACACTTTCAGTTGATTAACTCTTTTTGCGTGTGTGTGTGTGTATGTGTGTGCGTGTGTGGGGTCTGGGGACAAGGGTGGGAAGGAGGATCTGGTTATTTTTTGTTAAATGGATACCAAAAAAACCCCAGGAAATCCCCAAGAGAGATAGCGTTGATGTGAATTTCCAGATCTTGACTGGTTTGTCTCCACCCTGCAACCTCTCCTGGTATCTCCTCCCTCCCTATCCCATGTGCGTTGGTAGCCTGGCCAACCTATTTCAGCATTCATGGCAGCAAGGATCCTTCAAATGCACTGCTCAGCAGATCTGCCTCTTTATCCTTGCCTCTGCTGAAAACAGCACTTAAAAATATGTAACAATATTACAGATACACAAAAAAAAATTAAAAAAAAGTAATCTATGCATGATAAAGCTACAGTCTGCCACTGAAAGTAGTTTCTCCAATAAATAAACACAAAGATTAGCATTAAGGAGAGACAAGGAAGAGCAAAACAAAATACCAGTTGTCAGGGAGGACTGGAAAACAGCATTTCACCAGGTCTGGCTGGACCCATGCTACGCAGCCAGAGGGCTTTCCTCCAGCTGGAAAACAGTCATGGGGGAGAGGTTGTCTCCACCAAACCCCTTACTCCACTGCCCCCCTCCATGGGAAGAGACTGAACTGGCACCAGAAAGGATCTGGATTGCAGAGACAGGCTGTGTTTCTGCCCTGTCACCCCCAAGCCTCCACCTTTCCTTTCCTCCTCAATTCCTTCATGGGTTTCGCCTGGAAGTGAGATGCTGCCAGTCCCTCCTGTCCTGGCAGACACAAGACAGTTGTCCTGACTTGCAGGAAAAAAAGTGAGGGGACAAGGGGGACAGACAGAGGGACAGCTACCTTTGACATGGGTGAGAAGCAAACCAAGCTCTCCGGCACAGCGGAGGTTAGAGAAGCAGACATCACCCCAGAGAAGAGCACCATTGTGAAGGGCCGAGCGCGGCAGGGCAGGTGAAGGCACGCGGTCCCAAGGGTTACCCCCTGCCTACGGAGGGATGGCTCTGGCTTTAGGCTCCCAGGGCTTGGCACAGAGATGTCCCTTGTTGGTCAAACCTATTTGCCGCCTCTCTGCTGCCTGGAGGGTAAAGCCAAGATTCCCCCTTGTCTACAGAGACACCAAACTCCTTTAGGCTTTAATAGGGGCAGCTAGGTTAGGGCTTTATCAGCATTGGGGTCAGCACTCTCTTCTCCACACTGGGAAGATCCTTGCCCTGAACTCCCTTTGCCATCACTGCAGCAGGCAATTTAGGTTAAATTCATTTTTCTCTGCTAAGGGAAAATAAAATCCTTCTCTTATTCTCCATCCATGGGTGGTGACAGCAGACAGCTCCAGGAGAGTCTCTAGCAATGGGACCAGGACTGGGCCAACTTCCTTTTCTCTCTAGGTAGCCTCTTGCTACTCACGGAGCAACCTACATGGATTTCTTCCTCCCAGGAGCATGAAGGCCTTTGCTCATCTCTAGGCAACATTGGGACAGTGAAACAAGTCCCTCCTCTTCTCTTGTCTGGTTTTGAAGGGCTTCGCTCTAGAGCGAACCATTTACGGATGAGCAAAGAGAGAAAAGTGCATGAAGAGGTGTCCATTGGTGGGAAGCTCTCCTTCCTGGTCACACTCAGCATGATGGATGCGAGGGAGGAAGAGGAGGGGAGTCAGCAGCGAAGGCAGAGTTAACGCAGGAGACCTGGTGTCAGGTGGCTGCAGTGTTAAAGCCTTGGGGTTAGAGAAAAGAAGGGCGTTTGGTCTGGCTGGGCTCCGCCGCGCCGGCTAGAACTTGGTGCCTCGGCCCATCAGCTTGAGGACTGCAAAGTTGTAGGTGGCGGCGATGATGTAGGTGAGCTGTGGGTGGGAAGAGAGTGAGAGATGGGGGAGAAGGAGAAACGAAGACCCCACAGGCGAGAGCAAGTGGGGTGGGACTCCTTGCCAGGGTATGCCCGAGGCAGCATCCCCCAGCCCCACACCCCAAGAGGGGACCTGTTCTGCAGAGCCCCATGGCCCTGCTGCACCACTGGAACACCACAGTGTTGTGTCACTGCTGTAAAGCAAGAGGAGAGCTGGGGAAAGGCAGGGGATTCAGTGCATTGGCAGCAGGACCTCTCCCTGGTGGTCTCCTAAAGCTTCTTCTGATCCCCTCCAGCTGCCACCTCTAACTTCTTATGGCCTGAATTCACCATCTGCACTTACGTGCCAGAAAATGACACAAGCGCAGGCTCTGTCCCATCCATGCCCACCACCTCCGCTGTCCTTTGCCCCCACATCTTTGCCGGGCGGAGGAGAATGGCTGGGGGGTAGCACTGACTCACCAGTGAGACCAGCGTGGCAGCTGCCCCCACAAAGGCTGCGATGAAGAGGTGAAAAGTCATCTGGAACTGCAAGGGAAGAGAGGGATGAGCTCCCAGGGTCTCTTGTGCTGCCTGGGGAGGTCAGTGCTGAGGTGACCCGTTGAGAGGGAGCAAGAGGTACTTACCTCACTGGTCTTGCAGATGGAGAGCAGGTTGGAGCCACACACCTTGCCAGGGAAAGCATTCCAGGGCAGGACGCCTGTGAAGATGTAGGAAGCCAGGTGAGCCAGGTGTGGCTGCCAGCTGGCTTCATTGTTCAGCTTCCCGCAGACACATGTGTCACAGCCCC